CTGAAGCTCAATACAATTACAACATGCATTAAACCAAAAAAACAAACAAACCCCAAAAACAACAAACAAACAAACAAAGTTAAAAAATAGACCGATATTTCAGATATAGAGTTCCAGCATTAAAAATACTTTCTGAAAAACATTGTATTCATTTTTTAAATTTAAATTGATCTAATTGAAAGAGACATTAAAATTTTAACATCTAAATCCAAATTGTTACAAAGTTTTGGGACGCAGATCATGGAAAAGAACCTTTCACCCAACATTGTCCTGGACCTAGGCATGCAGAGCTGACGGCATTTGAAGATCTTAAATTACGAGATTGTGCGTACTTTTCCATAAGTTATTAAAGGTAATTTGGTGAGCACTGATGTAAAGATTTATAAACCATGCACACAATTTTTAATTCAATGCTCTCTCTCCCATGAGCACTGGCAACCTACGGAGGGTTTTCAAAATATCATGGGCATGGTCTGAAATTTTTATCAGTTACAAGTCTTGCTGCACTGTTTTGAATCTTTTGAAGTCTGGCAAGCGTAGAATCTGGAATGCCAAAAAGAAGGGAATTACAATAATCAAGGTGGCTTAAAATAAAAGCATGAACAAGAATTTTCGTGGTATTTTCGTCAATAAATTTCCCTATTCTGCCAATGTTTCTAAGATGGAAGTGCATGGTTTGACAAATTCTAGTGACGTGTGTTTTCATTGAAAAACTCAGGGTCAAAACAAAAGCCAAGATTTCGTATGGCACTTGATTTTTCACCATAACAGTTGCATTGCCTTGATCCAAACTCTCAAATTGTACATTTACTTAAGTGATTTGTTCACATTAAGATTTTTTATGTCTTGTTTTCGTTAAGTTTCAGTTTATTGTCAAACATCCAGTCCTTGATAGCTTGGAGACAGTTTTGAAAGGTTGAAATCTGTTGATCTTCTTCTCCCGGTTGATTGGTATGTACAACTGGGTGTCAACGGCGTGCATGTGATTTCTAACTTGTGTTGCTTAACAATGTTAGACAATGGAGTTGAGTAGAGTGTAAATAACACAGGTCAAAGGACTGAGCCTTGAGGGACTCCATAATGAAGCTGAACTGACGATGATCTCACACTGCCAGCCTTTGTAGGATTGCCATGAGAAGATATCAGTTGAACTGATTGGGATCGGTCTTTGAAATAGGATTCCAGCCATTTAAGTGCAGATCCTCCTAGGCCGAAGTATACTCTGAGCCGCTGTAATAAAAGGTCTTGATCGATGGTGTTAAACGTTGCACGCAGGTCAAGCAAAATATAAGTGCTGTACAGTTTTTGATCAGCGTATCGGATGATGTCGATGTGTACTCAAAGGAAGGCAGTCTCTGTGCTGTGAAATTCTCTATAGGCTGATTGAAATTTGGCGGCAAGACTCTCGGCTGAATGATAGTTTTTGAGACATGATGACACTAACCTCTCCAGTACTTTTTATAGGAAATTCAAATTGGAGACTGGACGGTACCGGTAGTTACTTCAAAATCAGGCCTGATATGCTCCAGTGGATTTGGTAGGTTTTTAAAAATCTTAATTTATGATATCAGTTGTTTATGAGGTGAAGCAGTTCTCAATCTCAAAACTCAAGCTTTGAAATCGTGCTCTGCAATTGAGAACCACACCCTGTGTAATTTAAAAAAAAAAAAGGAAGAAGGGGGCAGACTGTTCTTTGACAAATTCCTTTTGAAAACACAGTGTTGTCTCCCTTGAAAAAATGCGCTTTGAGCCAACGTGACGGGGATTCAACACCGGGAAGTATGGAAGGCCGTTTTCTGTGTTATCGCCTTTCCTACGAAAAATGCATAAATTTTATGAGGATTAAGATTTGTTTCTTTGCTCTGACATAGACTAGATTCTAGATCTAGTAATCTTTCTTCTCGTGTCACCAGTCAGTTTCACACTTCCTCACTTTGCCTACATTTTCTGTGTGAGATTTTGGTCTAGTGATTGGCCTTGCCAAGTCATGTGACCTGCGTGGACAATCCGCCATATTAGGCTTATACCTTACAGGTGTACTCTGGCCGCATCGCAGTTTGGCAATCAGTGTGTGCTGTTCTCACTTGAAGTTTGGCCGTAGCAGCAGAAAATAAATATGAGTGGCGACGTTCCAGAAGAGTTTCGGCCTAGGCAGTGCCATGTTGTGAAATGGCCTGAATTCCAGGGATATGGCTTCAACTTACATGCCGAGAAGGGAAAAGCCGGTCAGTATATCGGAAAAGTTGACGGTAACTCGCCCGCGGAAGCCGCAGGACTCAAGGAAGGAGACAGGATCGTGGAAGTCAACAATGTAAATATCGGGAACGAGAATCATCAACAGGTTGTTGCAAGAGTTCGATCGGGCGGCGAAGAAACTCGGCTATTGGTTGTTGATACTAATGCTGACAATTGGTACAAGGAACAGAAAAAAGTGATTAAAGGAGATTTGCCAGAGGTTCTGTTCATCAGCGCTGCGAGGAACGTCGAAGAGCCGCAAGTAGAAACAGGTGGGTGTGGCATGGTGGGGGCGTGGCGTATTTCTTGAAGAACGTTTTCATATTTTAATTGCATTTTACGATTTAATCTTCAAAATTAGGCCCTGATATACTCCAGTGTATTTGATGGGTTTTAAAAAATCTTAATGAATCTTTCGTTTTAAAAAAATTTGAATGCTGTTAATTGGGATTGTTGATAAACATTTTATTTTCAATCAAATGCATGACCAGATCCTATCCAATACTAGTCTAGATTTAGTATACTCTATACTAGCCTATAGATCTAGATCTAGATCTAGTTCTACTCAAAGAGTATATTTTGATCTAGATCTAGAAATCTAGATCTAGATATAGATATAGAACCAGAGTCCAGATTAATGTGTAGGCCTATAGATTAGATATAGCCTTTTAATCATAATCAGTAGAGGCCTATGTGTGTACTGTAATGGAGCTGGGGGAATTTATAATTAATATTAATTCAGAAAAGAGACTGTTTGATTGCACCGATAGTTTAAAAGATTGAATGACATGAAGAAGTTGGATTCCCTGGCTTTGATTACTTTCTGCTGGAGAATCGGAAATTAAGATTGGGTTTGTGTGAAGGCAATGTTTTTCTTAGTAGGTTATGCCTTCTTTTGCTGTAGATTATAACCTTTCATTACATTGAAAATTGAACATTTTTACTTTAACCTCTGTTTAGATGAAGGGAAAGAAGAATTTTGTTTTCTCTCTTCAGACACTTCAGTGTGATCATTTTGAAGTTGGGGCTCATGTTCTAAAAGTTCCAGGGATGTATAAATTCTTGTCTCTATGAATCGACACATGAAATTGATCTAAAGCTGTGCAGAGAAAACAAAATAGGAAAAAAGTTATTTTACTCTTTTTTATATTTCTGTGTTTGATAGACCTTCTGGGTAATAGTTCTATCAACAGTGACAGATTTACACCCCCCCCCCCAGCTGTTGTTGGGGCAGGGAACTGTCTAGATCTAGTCTGTAATAATTCACTCAGGGTGATTGTCCTGAGTAAAAGATCTAGAAATTTTAAACTCTGCTCATTTGGTCTTCAACTTCTTCATGTTGTCAAGTTTTTGTCACTTGTACCAAAATGAGTAACTTAGGGTTGGGTTTTTGTAATTTAACCCTATATCCGTACTCCGTGGTGTCATTTTTTACCTCCGGGGTTGTATTCATCACATTTTAAATTTAGAATACTTCTAGCGCGAAGATCTATTTGAAGCTTTAAGTATTTCTCAAAAAAACATTTTTACAGACTGCTATCCAAAGCGTACGGATCGGATTTTACAAGTAAATTTCCTCTTTGGAAAGTGGTGGCAGAGTTCCCCACGTCGTATGGATACACCATAATAAAACACAACGTATGGATAGGGTAGAGTTGCGTTTCTGACTCAATAATTTTAAATGGGTAAATAAGGTTTTACAAAGATAATAACAAAATATATAGGTCTCTGGACATTTAGCCATGGAGCTATGTTGTCTGATGATAAAACAATCGCCTATGACCAGAGAGATCCTGGATTGAGTTTGTTCCGAGACATGTTTTTGGGAACATTTGTACGCTGTTTTCCCTACTCAGTCCTAGTTAAAAATTAGTCATTGGTCTGTAGTGTATTGAGCTCCAACTGTAGTAATGACAATGTCCTGTTTTGTGAGGGGATTCCCCTTGGTAGGTTTTTTTTCTAAGTTTTGACTGCTGTCTTTTTCACCTTTTTGGAATGATAGGAGGACAATTTTCCCCAGACTGTTTTGATAACTTATAAAAGCTGCTGGAAAATCTTATTTGAATACTGTTCTTGAGGTGTATATTTTATCATGAGGTTAAAGAGATGTGCCAGATTTGAAGATAAAAATGACAATGGCCATATATTGGCTGTAATGTTACTGATGGGGTGAAATGACTTTGTTTTTCTGTTGGTAGAATTTACTCTCGGGTTATCTCCATTTCCTTCAACTCGGCCTGACCAGAAATTCCAGACAGTGGCCGATCTCTTTCCGCCTATTAGTGACTAAGTGATAGTGTGAGCTGGTTATTGACTTCCAAACGTATTTTCTCAAAGTCATAGCGGTAGAAAATGTGCTGTGTATTACAAAGATATTAAGTGCTTTTATCAAAGATAAAAATGTTATTATAGATTCTAAACAGTTTTTTTTTGTCACACTATTTTGTCATTGACCTTTTCATCGTGAAATTCATGTACTTATTTTTTTTCAAGTGACTTTTAATATGCTTTACAATTTCATCAATAATCTGCAGTGATTCAGACTGCTTTAAGATTTTGGGCGTAACTGTTGATGATAATCAACAGTTAGGTTATTCTTTGGCACATTCAAACCACAGGTTTTCAAAAGCCTACAATATTTCTGTTTTTTTATCCTTTTCCAACTTGTTTTTGTTTTATCTACCAGTTCGGATCTTTTTCAACTGTACACCATGATAATAACAGTTTTATTTTCGTTGTATTGTTTGTATTCTGTTCTCTCTGTGACTTTTCTCTCATTTTCATCTACATCTTTCCTTCAGTACAGTTTCCTTATGGCTGTGCAGTTACTGAATGGTTGCTTCTTTGGTGAAGTTGTATTGTTTTACACTCTTGGTTTAGACAATGCCAGAAATTGTTGCTATTGTGACCTGTCTACATGTTCCCATGTTATTTGAAGAAAAGTGATACACTTTAATTTGGGCCATAGGACAGGAGTTTTTATTTTCCCATGAAACTGACAACAGGCTGAATTCTTTCTTCGTTTTTACACATTCTGGGCTGACAGAGAGCTTCTTCTTTTATTGCATGGCATGGCAGATTACATGATATGTGGAAAGCTGGGTGGGCAGCTCAGAGTGTGGCCAGTGAGCCGTGGAGGTTGTTGTTTTAGCCGCCCACGGCTGTAGTGTTTTGAGACTGGTGGGAGTGGCTTACTTTGAGTTCACATGCTCTGCTGTTTTTAATCGTGCGATGCGAAATGGTATGGTTATTCCAGGTAGCTAGGAGGGATATATGAATGCTCATTTTGTTTATTCTTCTGTGTAATCGGTTTGACTCTATTATTATGATAAAGAAGTCTGTCTGTCTGTCTGTCTGTCTGTCTGTCTGTCTGTCTGTCTGTCTC